TTTTCATGAACTTCATGAAATAAATCACATCATTCATTATCATGTTTAATTTGTCTGATGCTAAACAGTATCCCATATCAAGGGAGTTTTCGTATTCAATGAGTCATGAAATATAATTTATATATAATCCCATGATATTTTCTTTTAAGTTGACATCAGCAGACAAATGATTAGTTTTGTATCAATTCAAGCCATAGGTGATGATTGATGAGTGAAACTGAATTGCTGAATACAAATATATCATTGGGCAAATTTTGTTTTTGCCACACTGTTTATTTCCATGCAATTCTTCTCATTCTTGATATTGGCTCCAGATTTGTTTTGATTTCATCCAATATTTGAAGGACTGATAATAATTTCAAAAATACACACATAAGCTTGCCAAAGTAAATGATTTTTACTCCCATCCATAGTTATCAACCTTCTATAAAACAAGGAGCTGACAACTGTCATGCAGTTTGTACAATGAAAAAAAGGTTTGGCAGTATGTGATGTCAAACTGTGTATTTTCAACCTGTCCTGTATTACGTCACACTGAAGATACATACGTTGTGCATGTAGTACCTTATATATCCGGGTAAGAGCCCGGCATACGCCTGGATATCCCCTGCAAAAATAAACAAAAATTGATAACGCGCAAATCGAACTGCGGCAGGGAATAGAACGATAAATGAAAACATGCAACAGAAATAAATGAACAATATGCAACATTAGAAGTAAAACAAAACTAATGTATTGCTTATAATGTGACAAATAAACCAGAAATAATAAAAATCGACAGTGATGAATCATTTGAATCAGGATTTCTCCGCTGACAAACACGCTCAATACGGGCGAACTCAAAATGAACTAAAATGTCAGGGGTTAAACTGTATGAAATAATTTCCGGTCTCAACAAATTATGGATCAACTGTCATACAAGATCAATAATAATTTACACAATAAAAAAAAAAAAAAGTTTGTCGATATCGTCCCTAACAATTTACACTTAATTCATGGATTTCGCAGTCTGTCAGCTTGGCGCTTTTCATTCATGTCTAATCACAATAAAGAGACAAGAAAAATGGGTCGCTCTGTTGCAATGACACACGATGCTTTTGTTTACAGTCTGGCAATCATCTTTGACCTTTATGCATCTGCTTTACTGATTGGCTAAGGATGACATCACTACTAGTGTTTCATCATAAAGGTCAAATCGTGACATTGCTTTTTTATCAGACTTGACGCTTATCAATCATTGTGAAAGTTATCATTAAGCAAGTTCCGGCGGCTGGAATGTCTCACTATATGGATATCTAACAACATAATAATGGTTATTATGACAGAAATGCAATAGTGGTGATGAAAGATAAAAAAGTCTTCGGCTTGACATTGCAAAATTGCTGGCCCCAGTTATAGATTCGCAAGCTGCTACCAAATATTTTATAAAGCCAAAGTAATATGATTTCAAGCACTCTCTCAGTATGGGCTGCTTCAATATTGCAACATTGGTTTAATTGTTGATGACACTACGGCCGACCGAGTGCGACACTTGCTTGCTATATGTTATGTTATGATTCTGAAAATTTTTTTTTTAAAAAAATCAGCGGTGAACGGATAAATATGGTAAAAGGTCATATTTTATTGTAGCGTCAAAGGGTTCGCGTGATGCATGTTTGACAGTAGACATGATTTAGCTTTGTACAAAAATGTGACACTAGTTTTAATTAAGGATCGTATTTGTCTCTAAGAATACACCAAGAATTGTCAAGCTCTAAAAAGCAGTATATTGATTGTATTTCTCAATTTTTTTTTTTTTTAAAAACACTTGGTACTGTATGTGTTTTCTAATATGGATGTTTTTAAAAGACATGACAGGAAGCAGAAACAAATAAATAAAAATAGAGTGTGCTACTGTTATTATCTTAAGTTCGAAAAATTAATCTGAATCCGAGACCAACTTTTACATTCACTTAAATTGTTAGTTGATATAAAATATGTCAAAGTTTTAGAAACC